CAAAAAATAGTCGATTTCGCAGGGCAATCGAAGATTTCGCAGGGCGCCAAGAAGAGCTTTATTGCCACGCAGAAATGCCGCCTCTGAAGTTCGTAAAGAGCCATTTAGGAATTTTGAAATGGAAATATCGTATTTGTTATGAACCTCCCTTCCTGACATTGCATTTTAGAGAACGGAACAGACATGTAAGGAAAAGCTCCGTTATTTGCAAAGCGAAAGCATTTCTTACCGAAAGTCATAGCCAATGGATGCATAAATTGATGCATATGTTTATGAGGGCAAGGTTGAGTCCATACAAGTTAATTTAAGTTGTAAATTATTTTCATGACAAGCACGGCGTCACTGGAGGGGAATAAGAGGCTGAAGGCCCTCACTTTGGTCAAGATAAGAATGTTTTTATCATTTTTTCTATTACTTTTTAACAGTGCATGAACTAAAAAACATAATAAATCGTCAAGATACCGATCTTGTTTCATCTAATTGCTAACTTTTTCACGTATATTTTTATTATTTTTCTTTTATTTGCATTAATTCAGTAAATCACTTTCTGTATCATTGCAATGTTTTAATTTTGGATGTGTAAACATGGCCTTCTCGATGCAAGAAACTGCACATTTCTGTTCAGGAAATAAAATTCCCCCAATCAAAACAGCATCTTCCTCTGTCATTCACAACTACGTGCAATCTGAAACGAAAGGTTGTCGTTTCTTTCCTTCCCCAACGTCTAATAGTAGAGTTCTAGCAAGACATCCCCCTCCCTATTTTTCCCAATAAACAATAATATTTTCAATAAACAATCAGTTTTTTTAGCACAATAGTATTTTGCTAAATTTTTGTCTGAAAGATGCTTTTTAGCCCTTTTACAAGGCATAATTTCAAAAATTTTCTTCACGTCGGACCCAACCATGGTGGGTCCTCCTACCTCACTAAACTTGATTCTTAGCCCCACTAGGCTAAATTTCGTTGCGCTGTCTACATCATGTACCCCCCCCCCCAATAAGCTGTTTATTAGCTCAATTTTGCAAACCAACATTAAACAAAGTGAATATAAAAAAACAATTTACGCTCACGTAGAGAAAAAGAAATTTCATAGGCAATGAAGTTTCAAGTTTGTTTTTATTGCTTAGAAGTTTGTCCTTGGTAAAGACCAGTGTACACTGGTAAAAGCTTTCACTAGTAACCTATAGACAAACCGTTGCTACTAGGTCTGCAGGGCACCACTCAGTTTTGCAGGGCAGAAACCCTTTTCACCCCCCCCCCCAAACCTATTGGCCAAGTTACGCCCCTGCCCTTGTCCCTCTGTGTGGGGTCCATGTCACCGTTTTTAATACATAAAAATATCCCAAATATTCAATTTTGCAGTTATTTTTTTAAACCATTTAAACAAATGTAAACTACTTCAATATTTTATACAAAAGCGCAAAAGGTTTTAGAAACTCAAAAAGCAGGGGGTTGGAAACTCAAGAAATATTAACAAGCAGGGAAATGATATTCGGTGGGATAAAGTGATCAATTAAATCACGGACTCAAACTTTTAAAAAATCTGTTTCTGTATAACAGAAATAGTGGTCTTTGACCTGGTCAGCCTTGGTCAAAGACCAAAAAGTTAATCTTGGATCATGTTTGTTGTTAAATGTAAATATTGAAATTTGTGTTCCTCGTTCTTCACAGGCAAGCAGCGTAAACGGAAGCTCTGCACAGATAGAGTTGCTTTGGCATCAACAAGGTTTTGAATCTCTCAGAAGTTTTGGAATTGAAGTATCTACGTTTGTCTCTGACAGACACCAAGACTGTATGCCATTGCACAGAGATACCTATTGAACAAAAACATTGTATGATTTAATATAATGATTGACTTGAGTTTCTCTTAGATTCTTTAGAATCGGCAGGATCATAACATTGCATATATATATTATATGTATTTGGTATACTCTTTTTTGCCATTTTTAATGAAAATAAAATATTAAATTTACTAATTCCAAGAATTGAAGGTGCCAAACAGAATTTGCATTTCTAGACAGATTAACTTCTTCTTCATTCGCCCATACAACGCAATAGGTTAGGCCGCTATGATCAGGGAATGGTGGCCTAAAAACAGCAGAGATGTACAGGGAATACTGAATTTATAACACTAAAAAACATAATGACAATTTATTTCACTCACCATTGACTCAAAGTATTGTTGTATTCCATCTTCGTCCTCGCCCCGTCATGAAAGCTTCGAGCCATGCCAGCTTCGCCTGGTTCCGCGTCTGAATTATCCGCAGAAAAAAGACTGGTTCGTTCTTTAAAGGCAAAAATAGCCCGTCAGCAGCACCTAAAAACTATTCCCCTTCACTTTCATCAAAAGCTGACGCCCTCGAGCTTGAATATTTGCCGTGAGACATGTACAGAAACTCGCAAATAAAACTCCGCCGTATAATTTCTTGTTAGTTAGCAATCTAAATTTTCACTAACACAACCACTTTACGTCACAAACTCGACCCAATCCCTTGTGACAAAATTTGAAGCAAAAAGTCGACCTTGAAACAGCTGTAATAACGAAAGTGTTTGTTTTTCGAAAATTTTATTATCATTTTCGTGATCAGCATACTCGATTACGTCTTGGGGGCGAATAACAATTTTCGTGTCATATGCACTTTAAGTGCCTATGCAGCGGAATTTACCATTCCAATATTTTAAAAGAAATCTTTAGAATCCTTTGCCCTTGTTCTTATACAAAAAAACAGAATTCCGATAAGTTAAATGGTTCTTTTTTTCATTGAGTGTCAAAGTATGCATATTTTGCAGTTGCGTTGCGAAATTTTATTTCCCGCTGTGACGTCACAGTGATGAGTCGAGGCGAAACCATTTAGTCAGGCCTGATAAATCACTCATTAGGTCGAATTGTGCAAATTGTGATACTAGCATTAAACTTTGCAATAATGGACAGTTTGATGCGCTTAGAAAGATAAGATATGGACCCGACTGAAAAATGCCCCATTGTTCTATTTTTAGACTGGGGTACTTTGTCCTAGACCTTTATTGACGGTATTATCGTATCTCAGTCTCACTTTAGTAGAATAGCATGAAACTTTGCAATGAGGGGCAGTTTGATACGCTTAAAAAATAGGATATGGACCCCCCCTGAAAATTGCTCCCCTTGTTCTATTTTTAGAGTGCAAGATATGAATAGGAACTATATCACATCTTTCTCAGCGTATCAAACTGCCTTAATATTGAGAATTTCCATTCTCCGTTTATGGCCAATGGTAGAATTAGGGGTCTTGACCGGAGTACCCCAATCTAAAAATAGATCTTATGGGCAAGATATGATTTGGGTCTATATCACATCTTTCTCAGCGTATCAAACTT